CTTTAGGTCCTTTAGGTGATTTAGGTTCTTCGAAATCTGTAGGTGCTTTAGGTGTTTTAGGTCCTTTAGGTTCTTCGGAATCTATAGGTGCTTCAGGTTCTTCGGAATCTATAGGTGCTTCAGGTTCTTTAGGTGCTCCAGAATTTGTGGGTGCTTTAGGTCCTTTAGGTGATTTAGGTTCTTCGAAATCTGTAGGTGCTTTAGGTGTTTTAGGTCCTTTAGGTTCTTCGAAATCTGTAGGTGCTTCAGGTTCTTTAGGTGTTTTAGGTCCTTTAGGTTCTTCGAAATCTGTAGGTGCTTCAGGTTCTTTAGGTGTTTTAGGTCCTTTAGGTTCTTCGAAATCTGTAGGTGCATCAGGTACTTCAGGTGTTTTAGGTCCTTTAGGTGGTTTAGGTTCTTCGGAATCTGTAGGTCCTTTAGGTTCTTTAAGTCCTTTAGATGCGTCAGGTTCTTTAGCCTTTGCTCCTGGTAATCCAAAAACTTGACGTTCTTGCATTACATTGCGATCGTATATTGGCATGATGCCATATGAGTGTGGACTTGCATCACGATGTCGTAAAATTGACAGGGGATTGGCGGAAATGCTGGAAAGGCTAAGAGTAACATAAAGTATGCTAAATGTAATTGAAGGTATTGATTTGAATTTGGCGAGCTTCATTTAAAATTTTGGTTTTAAACAACACGACAATTCGCGACTTAAACTAAATAGATAATGGTTTTTTTTAACAAGATAAAAAGATAGAGATGAAACAATCAAATTTCTGTGAAGTGCTTCTCGAGCTGCCTTGTGCCCTTTTTATTCATGAAAAACAATTAGTAAAGATATCCAAGTATTAATATGTTTTTTTCCTTCATGTACAAGTATTTTACCCCTAAAATTTGATATCTTTACGAGCATATTTTAATTTTAAAATCCTTTTGTGATAATTCATAAAATCGTTAAAAGACTTTTGGAAACACAGTGAATTCTCTCTTTTTATGATATCATTAATTTTTCATCTCGTTAATTTTATCACTCTTGCACCTTTTATTGTTTAGATTACGCTAATAATAGCGATAGAATCATTAATCAATGAATGATAAACTGTCAATACATTTGTAGTTATCTTCGCAATTAATATCTCGATTGTCTTTATATTGCGTAAAGACTAAAATGATTAGTAAAGCGTTTATTCGTGTAACATTTTTAACAACTTATGTCATTCATTCGCAAAAAAACTTCAAAGATGCATTTAATTAACTGCTCGTATAATTCGTGCTGATCATGGTGAGATTATGATGTTAAATGATATATTCTTAAGGGATTATTAAATACAACTGATTTTGAATTACATCAAATTGATCTTTTAAATAGCGGTGATTTTCTACTTTCTATTTTTAACTACTGTCCTGATTTATTCAGTGCGTCAGAATATTGAGTGCACTTATCTCGTGCCAGTTCACGATCTAGGAGAGAGATTTATCAGTCCTCGTATCTGGTATAGGACATGTTATTAAATATGATTACGTACAAATATAATGTATCGCAAAGGGTAATGATGATCGAAGTGCGTCATATAACATCAATCACGACTAATTAACCGTCATAGCGTTACCGCTTTAAAAGATTTCTCTGATTAATCAAAAATGTTAAAACCAAATAATCAAAAAAGCTGTTGTAACTCAAATTTCGCCTATGCAATTCCTTCTGCGCACTAATTAAAGCGTCCTTGCGAAATTTTGTAGTATTATTCATCTCAAACCTTAATAGCGAAACATGACCCTAATCTGTGGCAAATTTTTTTTGGCGAGATGTTTTAGGCTAGTAATACTAGCGAACTTCTTCAAGTGCCTGAAGTTGCAATTTCAGGCAGGTACTGACTTTAGGTAAATGAAAATAAAAAAAAAAACATTATTTTGACCAATAACGTAGTTTATTAAAAAAACAGTTTACAAGGACTATAATGAAATGTTTGTAGTTTATTCAATAATTATGATTATTATTAATATCAAATTTAATTTGTATCATACATATTTAAATTTGTAATATAAAATTATATAGTACCTTTTTATTTAACGAGTATTATTAAAAGATAATAATAAAATAATACTCTATTTTGTAACAAACATTAAGTAATAAAATTTACAGTATTTATTTTTGATTGAAAATAATAAAATAAAATAACTAAATCTTTAGCACAGTAACCAATGAAATAAATAAATGAATGCACTATTAGTGCCATTTAGAGTACAAAGAAAAAAGTAATAAAAAAAGTTTCAAGACGAAATTACCCATTTACTTTTAAATTATTATACATAATACATTATTAAGCTTTTTTGATCGGAGCCTTACCAGCTTCAACGTACGACCTTCTTCTGACCACAAACCAGTTACCAACGATTTCATCAATAGAAAAATCGGTAAATTCATATGTAAACGGAGCCGTGCCTGGAACAGTAATTTCAATTACACTTGACAATTTTTCAGTCAAGTCCTTAACAATCTTGTCATCTTTATCAACAATCACATAATCAAAATTATCGGGATGTGTATTCTGAAATCCACTATTCATTTGTCCACTACAGGTGACTTTCTTGTCTTCTGTTTCTGAGAAATGAATTTCTCCGGTAACTGTGTTTACGTTATCTGAGTAAGGAAAAGTTGCAACAGCGACGTCTCCAGCTTTACGTTTTGTCGTGCTTGGATATGGGTTTACAGAGATTATGGTAAGGAAAATGAAAAAAGAAATGAACAGAAATTTTACAGATATCATTTTTTTTTTTTTTTTTTTTAGATATTAAAGATTCTTTTTAAATAGAATTATCCTTTTGTCAAAATTATATATTTATGTACAATTCGGAAATGAATTCAGAAATGAATTTTTTCTCAATCAAAATTTTAAGTTTGATTTGGAGATGTTCTTTTATGCTGTTATTTCTTTAACAAAATACAGGTAAACGCGTCGATCTAAACCTGGCTTGTCCAATTTTTGATAGATTCTAAGCAAAAATCCCAATAATTTTGGGATCATTAAAAAGGCAAACGGCTACGAAAAAAAATCTTTGATTTTATTTTCGATTTCATTGCAAATCTCTTACCTTTAACATTCTTTTTTTTTTTGTATTATAAGCCACCATTGAAAAAACTCGATTCTCTTGTCCCAAAGCCTCGCTAGTATTTGATCTGAATATTTCGTCTCGATGTTAGTCTAAGTCACGATCGCCAGATTTTCATTTAAGCCATGATTGATCGCGGCAACCAGAAAATAGTATTAAAAAAAAGCCATTTTCATTAAAAGGCTAAAAGGTCACTTGCACGTAACGAGAAATAAGCCATTATACACAAGCCGATCTTTTGCTTACAGTTTTTGCAGATGAAAATTTGATACGATCGCGCTTACATTCGATACGCGTATACCGACACAGCCTTAATTAATATCCGAATTTTTAACTCGCATTCTATGTGTAAATATAACGCTAATAATATTTAATAATAGCAATAATGATAATATATTATTATTCTTGTTAAATTCAGTGTAAGCATTTTTAGTTAATACCTTTATCAAAACTTATAATACTACAGGATAATTATACACGCAATATAAATTATTTCTACTTGTGTGGTAACTAGTTTCGAATAGTTTCGAATAGTTTCGGCACATGAAGGTAATAAAATAATAAAGTATTCCTAAGTCAAGCTTTCATAGAGGAGTTTTTAAATGTAAAATAGCAATTCAGTGTGGCTTGCTACTACATTTATTGTATAAATGTGAAAAATATGTGATAATATAATGCTATATAGATGTCATATAGATTTCAATTTTTGGATTAGGATTTGTGAAAGCCGAGAAGCAATATTTCCCGTAGTGACCATGATTAGAGAAAAATCCTGCATCTACCATATTTCATTAGGCAAATTACCCTGATGATAAATAATGCAGAGTTATTTTTTAAAATACTAATTACATTAACACCAATGGTATTCAACACCACATAAATTTTTTAATAGTTTTACTAATAAATTTAGGGTTGGAGACCTAAACTATAATGATTTAAATTTTAGTTAGGTGTACGAATATTTTATTTATTACTCCCAGCATTGGTATTTAGCTAGTTTTTAAGGTATAGCAACTATGGTGTTGAACACTTTAGTAAACTGATTAATCATCTCTATAAGGGTACTACTTAGCTTGATCCCAAGAAGTGCGCAAAACTATGAAATTTACATATCCTGATATTTTTCTGGTAATTTTTCTATTATACAGAATTTAGAATCTTTAGTAACAATCAGTTATAATAGTAAAATTTTAACGGAAAGTTTCTAATTGTTATTTAAAGAAATCTGCTCTATAGGCGCACATCTCTGAAATGCATACTTTATTTTGGTTTCGAACCTGAAATTTAGTGCTAAGTACACACCCTACTTTTTGCTTATGTATAAGTTTCTAGAACTCAAATGCATATGGGCTACCATCAATAAAATAACAAAAAACTAATACACATATATATCGCCTTTGATTACTTGCACTTAGAGAAGTTTGATACCGGATTAACAAATCAGATACAGTATGTGAAATCACATTTTAAAAAAACTGTCGGTGAAACCACCTTCACGTTCTAATTAAAAAAAAAAAAACTATTTCTTCCTAATCTTAATCTTTACTGTAATTTTCTATTATGTTGAACTTAATTGTTTTCCGAACTTTCCTGTTTTCATGTTATAACGGGTCTTGCAATGTGACTAGAATTCTTCGGAGTGTTCTTAGGGTAGTTCCGGTCCCTAAGCACTATCCGTGGAATTTCCGGAAACGGGATTTACTCTACCAATAATTATGAGTATCCGCATCAATGATGTCATTATAATAGTGATGATAAAACAATGGATTGCTAAAATCTCCTTATTCTCTTTTTGTGCAATTAACCAACGAAGATCTTACATAATCTTTATTTAAATGAGACCATCAAATAAAACACATTTATTTTCTTTCCAAATAATCTTTTGTTTGCTTATTTGTTTACTTACCAATACTTCACTAGAAATGGATACCGCAACCGCAATATTCACTCCCGAAGATGGTGATCCTACCCAAAGTCTAACAGGTCAATTCAATTTTGCTCAAATTACTCCTACAAAAGTTCATGTCAGTGGTCAATTAACAAGTGGGATGTTCGATAAAGACATCAATAATTATAGATTTTGGATTGCAGATAATCTTGGACTCCTTCTTTATGAGTTGTCTGAAGGATTCATTAAAAACAATGAAGGATGGAACATTAATAGTAACGGTGGGACTAGCATTTTACAGAGTGATTTTGAGAAAGGATTTAGCGTTAAGGGAACTTATGGAATCGTTAATTTGAAACTATACATTTCTTTAACTGATAAGATTCTTGGATCGGCTCAGATTAAAGAAGTTGTCTAAAATTTTAATTCAAAGGGTTCTTGTACCGTTTAGCACTTCTTATAGCAGCCAGATTTTATTCAAAACTTTTTTTTTTTTAAATTGATTAGTACCCGGAATACTTTGTATAGAACTGTGTACTGTATTTGGATCCAAGTTAATAAATTAATATTGCTATATCCCCGAATATTATTCAAGAATTAGGCTGATAGATATGATGAATAATAATAATGAGGAATATTATGTTGTAAACAGTGCTAAACGGTATCATACAGTATAGAGTTTACGCTGGAATATTCAACAAAAATAAGATATATGATTGTAAGTGAAGAAACTTTGATTCTTTGCCTTTCTAAAGTTTTGAAGTCATAATTTTTTGGCGTTCAAATATGTAATCTGTCATGCATTAGAAATAAGCTGGAAGTTCGTGGAGATAATGTTCAATATCTTAATATTGGAATAATATATCAGCAAAACAGTTGACAATGTATGTTCTCGAATTTAAATCCCTTTTCTCAAAACCGAAATTCAAATACAAGGATGAATGATGTTTCAAAGAAATATTTACATCAAAGGAATTGAGAAAGATTGTAAAACAAGCTTGAAAATTTGCGCTTTATTAAAGTCTTTTATATATGCTATGTGTCAATCTGAATAATTATAATTTCACTAACATTTACTCTAAAGTATGTGCACTATCTCTTTATTTCCTATTCACAATGTTCATCTTTGGATTATGCCAATCTTCTCTTCAGCTTGTGTGTCCCAATTAGTGTTGTTAGGCGAAACTATTTTTGGTAAATGGCGAAAGCCGAACTAAACCCGTCGAAACTCTGGCGAAACTCCCACTAAAGCTAAAACCCTTGGAGAAAGTTAAACACAGCGAGAAAGACTGAGCCATGTTGGTGAATCAAAATAATTTGTGTGTGGCTATTAAGCACAGCATGTGGCTTATATAAAAATGTACAAAAGTAATGAACAAAGTGATGACTTTTTATTTGTAGTTGAGTACTATTAAAAAAAAAAACTAGACTTCAGGTTTTTGAACTTATAATAAATCAATTCAATGCTTGAAAATTCAAAGTTTGAAGTTCTGTTTATTTTAGTAGTGCTTATTTATGTATTAATATTATTTGTTTTTTGGTTTTTTTTTTTTTGGTATTAAGGTGAAGCCTTGCTCATATCTTTATTGGTAGTTTAAAAGTTAGTAGTTACATGGAGCTGCTGTGTACAAAAAATAATTTTCTATATAAAATGTTATAGTTAAAACCAACACTTGCAGTCAGAGTTAAACCATTGAATTGCTAATTATATAGCTACTCTAAGTACAAATAAAAGAAAAATTACATTTAAGAATAAAAGTTCAGACATATTTATCTGTAACCTAAACCTACTAGAATAATCATAATTCACCTAGATTTGTAAGTTTAGAATATAATTATAGAAAATATTGTTTTTGATTCAAAAAATGATTTAGATGTTGATTTTATGGATAGCATAACTAATGGGTGGACAGGTATTAGAATTAGAATGTAATTGATCAGGTAGTCCACATAGACAAGAATAAGTATAATTTTTATGATTAGAGTTTCTTTTGTTACTTTGATTTGATTGAGATGAGGGTCTAACATAAGGTAGTTTAAGTCCTTGTTGTTTCTAGTTAACAAAGTTTATACAATATGGTTTTCATATTTGTTTATAAGAAAGTTCATTAACTTTAAGCAGAATAGTAATAATTGTTTGTAAGACCAGTTTGTATGAAATATTAAAGTTTTGTACAATATCAATTAGAGATTTAGAAATAAGTTCTTTAAGTATAATATCAAGATAGTATTAATTTGTTTAAAAAGGTATAGGATAAAAAACATAGTAGTTACTGATTTTATGAATAAGTTCTTCTTGTTAATTTATAGATAAATCAAGGTTTGTGTAATTAATGTATTTAGATATACTAGTTTGAATAATATTAAAGAAAAGTAATGAATTTGAACATGTATGTCAATGGGTTAGAGAGTCAACAAAATTATAGTTGAAGCAATTAGTATTATAAAATATATATGGATAAGTTTGTAAAAATAAAAGTAACTAGGAAATTCATTTAATAAGATTTTAATTTTGAATGATTTAAGATAGTTGAGTTTAAAGTTAGTGACATTATGAATTAGTTTTTGGTTATGGTTAAAAAATAACTAAGTTGATCTTTAGTCAATTTGAAAAACCAAGACTTCCCATTTCATGCTACATTTTTAGAAGAATTATATTACTAGAATGTAGGCTCTACAGATATTTTTGATAAAGCTTTTAGTTAAATGTTTAACAAAATATTGATCCTAAAAAATTATATGATATGGATTGTAGATGCTTGTATTGTTAAAATATAGTATAGGTAATGAATTATATTATTTTGCAAATGAGTCTGCTAAATTGTTAAGAGTATTATCAATATGGACTTGTACTTTGTACAAATTAATCTGATGATTATAAGATTCAATAATATTAAGCAAAGTATACCATATAGGCCATAAGCTGAATTTAAAAAGCTTGTTGGAATTTGAGAAAATAGTATATATTTTAGAATATTTAATAATTATAGACTAAGAATCAGTAAAGATATTAATTGTTGAGTTGTGAGGGATAATTGAAGCAGCTAAAAGAATTAATATTAGTTTAGCTTTGTAAGAAGATGACTAAAAATAAATTTTAGCT